CCGGCTAGCCTCCCACCAGGCCTCACGGACTACACCAACGGCCCAAGCCTTGGACATTAGAGGCCACTTTCTCTAGCCGACAAGAGCCGCGCCCTGGGCCCAGTGGGGTGGAAGGCGGGCAGCAGTGGGATCGGACCAGGATCATGCTGAGGAGCACAACTCGGTACAGACTAGCAACAGACGACTGTCCCGGAGAGCAAGACACCGTCACAATCAGGGGTGTGATTGGGGAAGCACCTCCTGACCAACCAGGACATGTTTACCAGGGACCCGTCGACTGAGGCCCGGGCCTGCTGCAGGCGCAGGGCTTTCCCAGGCGGCCGGAGCCTCCTGCTGCTAAGACCACCCCAGGGCCGGGGAGCCCGGTTAGTCCATTAACTGGCTAAATGTTGGGCTAACCTAGCGTTTAACCAGCTCACCGATTCACTGGGCTCTTACACCCCTGGTCGCAGGGGAGGCACTGACAGAACAGGCCTAAGACTGATTCCTTCGGATCTTACACCCCTGGTCGCAGGGGAGGCACTGACAGAACAGGCCTAAGACTGATTCCTTCGGATCTTACACCCCTGGTCGCAGGGGAGGCACTGACAGAACAGGCCTAAGACTGATTCCTTCGGATCTTACACCCCTGGTCGCAGGGGAGGCACTGACAGAACAGGCCTAAGACTGATTCCTTCGGATCTTACACCCCTGGTCGCAGGGGAGGCACTGACAGAACAGGCCTAAGACTGATTCCTTCGGATCTTACACCCCTGGTCGCAGGGGAGGCACTGACAGAACAGGCCTAAGACTGATTCACTCGCATCTTAAACCCCTCGTCGCCGGGTAGGCACTGACAGAACAGGCCTAAGACTGATTCACTCGCATCTTACACCCCTGGTCGCAGTGTAGGCACTGACAGAACTGGCGTAAGACTGATTCACTCGCATCTTACACCCCTCGTCACAGGGTAGGCACTGACAGAACAGGCCTAAGGCTGATTCACTAGCATCTTACACCCCTCGTCGCAGGGTAGGCACTGACAGAAGAGGCCTAAGAACAGCCCTTGCAGCATGCCCATGGAAATGGTCACACTTGCCAGAAATTCTCCACACGGGGAGCACAGGCCAGTCCCACACTGACAGCAGGCAGCCAGGAGACAGCCTTACATAGGGGCCCAGAGGTGCCCCCAGGATGCATCTGACAGGTGGAACTGGCTACCTACAGGAGTGCTGGATACGAGCTGCAGTGTGTGTCCAGGGCACAGGAACTTCCTTTGTGCTGTCCAAACAGCAGAGAGCGTGTAAGTGTTATGGGAAGGGAAGGGAAGGATGCATGTACCATGCCAAGGGGCAGCCTGTGCATCTACCCCCGGGACCTCCTCAGGCGTGCGTCTGGAACTTCCCTAGGTCCCCACAGGCGCCCTACGTGGGGTGGAACACTTCTGGGTCCCTACAGGCGCCCTACATGGGGTGGAACACTTCCTAGGTCCCTACAGGCACTCTGTGTGGGGTAGAACACTTCCTGGGTCCCTACAGGCGCCCTACATGGGGTAGAACACTTCCTGGGTCCCTACAGGCGCCCTACGTGGGGTGGAACACTTCTGGGTCCCTACAGGCGCCCTACATGGGGTGGAACACTTCCTAGGTCCCTACAGGCACTCTGTGTGGGGTAGAACACTTCCTGGGTCCCTACAGGCGCCCTACATGGGGTGGAACACTTCCTGGGTCCCTACAGGCGCCCTACGTGGGGTGGAACACTTCTGGGTCCCTACAGGCGCCCTACATGGGGTGGAACACTTCCTAGGTCCCTACAGGCACTCTGTGTGGGGTAGAACACTTCCTGGGTCCCTACAGGCGCCCTACATGGGGTGGAACACTTCCTGGGTCCCTACAGGCGCCCTACGTGGGGTGGAACACTTCTGGGTCCCTACAGGCGCCCTACATGGGGTGGAACACTTCCTAGGTCCCTACAGGCACTCTGTGTGGGGTAGAACACTTCCTGGGTCCCTACAGGCGCCCTACATGGGGTGGAACACTTCCTGGGTCCCTACAGGCGCCCTACGTGGGGTGGAACACTTCTGGGTCCCTACAGGCGCCCTACATGGGGTGGAACACTTCCTAGGTCCCTACAGGCACTCTGTGTGGGGTAGAACACTTCCTGGGTCCCTACAGGCGCCCTACATGGGGTGGAACACTTCCTGGGTCCCTACAGGCGCCCTACGTGGGGTGGAACACTTCTGGGTCCCTACAGGCGCCCTACATGGGGTGGAACACTTCCTAGGTCCCTTCCTGGGCACCTACTAAGGATGCTAACTAACGAGGGATTTACTCGTCATGTAGTCGATGGAATTTCCGTCCACTACTCGACAGGCACTTCCACATTCCTCAGTGGGGGCTCTTGTACCTCTCAAAGGAGGAATGTGCAACTCTGCGTGCAGCCTGGGGACGGCGGGAAGCCCCCCTGACTCCGGGGTGCACGCGGGTGCCAGCTTTGAAATGTACAGGAGTCCCCAGTGGGGGCTCTTGTGCATTTCAAAGCGGAAGCGCCTTCATGGAGCCCGGGGTCAGCGGGGTGACAGACTGACCCTGGGCTCCAGGCTGCGCTGTCGCATTCTGGGCTGCACGTGGCATTTCCTCAGAATCCAGGATCAGCTGGGGACTCCCCCTTATAGCCTGAGCAGGACTCCCCAGCTGATCCCGGGTTCTGCAGAAATGCTGCGCAGAGCCCGGGATCAGACCCCAGGCTCCATGTGGTGCTGCCTGTCAAATGGGCGGCACCACACAGCTGATCCTGGACTCAGCTGTGCGGTGCTGCCGCTTTGACCGCTTTCAAGTATCCCCTTTGTCCCCCCACTTTGCTTCCTCTGACAGAGGCAGAAAGGGGGGCAATCAACTAGTCAACTCATCTATCCAATAAGCATTTGCTTATCGGATAATCAACTAGTCCTTAACATCCATAGTGCCTACAGGCGCCCTGTGTGGGGTGGAACACTTCCTGGGCCCCTACAGGCGCCCTACGTGGGGTGGAACACTTCCTGGGCCCCTACAGGTGCCCTACGTGGGGTGGAACACTCCCTGAGCCCCTACAGGCGCCCTTCATGGGGTGGAACACTTCCTGGGTCTCTACAGGCACTCTGTGTGGGGTGGAACACTTCTGGGTCCCTACAGGCGCTCTGCGTGGGGTAGAACACTTCTGGGTCCCTACAGGCACTCTGCGTGGGGTAGAACACTTCCTGGGTCCCTACAGGCGCCCTACATGGGGTAGAACACTTCCTGGGTCCCTACAGGCGCCCTACATGGGGTAGAACACTTCCTGGGTCCCTACAGGCGCCCTACATGGGGTAGAACACTTCCTGGGTCCCTACAGGCGCCCTACATGGGGTAGAACACTTCCTGGGTCCCTACAGGCGCCCTACATGGGGTAGAACACTTCCTGGGTCCCTACAGGCGCCCTACATGGGGTAGAACACTTCCTGGGTCCCTACAGGCGCCCTACATGGGGTAGAACACTTCCTGGGTCCCTACAGGCGCCCTACATGGGGTAGAACACTTCCTGGGTCCCTACAGGCGCCCTACATGGGGTAGAACACTTCCTGGGTCCCTACAGGCGCCCTACATGGGGTAGAACACTTCCTGGGTCCCTACAGGCGCCCTACATGGGGTAGAACACTTCCTGGGTCCCTACAGGCGCCCTACATGGGGTAGAACACTTCCTGGGTCCCTACAGGCGCCCTACATGGGGTAGAACACTTCCTGGGTCCCTACAGGCGCCCTACATGGGGTAGAACACTTCCTGGGTCCCTACAGGCGCCCTACATGGGGTAGAACACTTCCTGGGTCCCTACAGGCGCCCCACTGCATAGCGAGGGTACAGAACCTGGCCTGGCCTCACTGCTGCTATTCAGACAAACACACGCCTGCTCCACTGCTGCAGCTGGCCCCACAGGAGAGCTGGAAGAGCATCCTGCCGGGACGGGAGGCCCTTCCTCAGGGCGCACAGCTGCCCCATGGCCTGCAAGCAGAGCGGTGGAGAGCTGGTGCACGCAGTGAGGGATGGTCAGGCTTCCCCGTCCCCGTGGGGGGCAGAGGAAGCGCGAGCGGCAGGCGGGGAGGGGGGCGCTGGCTCGCAGGCTAACCTGGGAAGGGGGTGGAAAGCCCTTCTCCCGGGCTAGGAGTGCGAGGGAGCTGGCCAGAGAACGTCCCTCGGCAGCGCTGAACTGCGCTCCGGTGGCTGTCTCCCCTGCCATTCCCAGGGAAGGGGCGGCAGGCGGGAGGTTTCAGCATTTGCGGGTCAGGGGCACCCAGCGCCACGGAGTTCACTCAGGCCGCTCTCTGCTGCTGGGGGCTTCCTCTGTGTGCCAGGGGCTGGGAATTTCAGTGAAGTTCAGACACATCTCGGGTGAGCACAGGTCCCGCTGTTCTCGAGACCGTCCAAATCCTAGGGGCTCTGTCTTATCCAGGCAACTATGCCTCAGCCTTCCATCTCCAAACAATGCCCGATTTGTCACACTTGCTAGCCGCTCACCCAGAACCAGTCAGATTTACCAGGTAGAGCCCTTTGTCTGCAACTCAGACTTGCCAAAGGACAACGTGGCTACAGAGGAGACCCATGAGGACCCCGCCTCACGGAAAGGGAGCGGGCCAGCAGCCTTCGACCTGATCCGAGCGGAGTGACGCCTGCTTGCGTACGGGGCCCAGGCCAGAGGGGTTCCCCACGAGCAGAGCCCTTTCCAACTGCATACAACCCCCAAAGCAACAACCTGACCTGAGAATCTTCGTCAGCTCCCAGCCCTCACATCTAGCCAGCCTGCCGGGGTGTTCGCGCTGCCAGGGCTGAACATTCGGAGCCTCTTGGCTCCGCAAAGCCTTTGGGGAGCTTCTGGGAACACCAGCAATCGGGCGGCAGCGTTGTGTATAAACACGAGCGGCTCTTCCGCTGAACCACTCCAAGAATCACTGACTCCACCCCCCAGCAAAACAACATTCTTCTAGCAGCATTCGACCGAAGTGTAAAGCAACCTGGTTGGCTTCCATGCATCCGATGGCCTCTTCCAAGAGTGCAAACTCCACGCAGACATAGCCATAGTCGTAACCTGGGGACAGCATTTAAATACAGACGGGAGTCGTGTTAGTGCCTTGGAATACAGACGAGCCACAGAGCAAAACCCCATTTCCCCTTCCCTCGGTCACAGCCCCTCCCCGCACCCCGGCGGCTCCGCAAAACA